GTTGGTGTACTCTAGTAAACTCTGTCAACAGCTGCATTTCTGGAATATGGATGTCCTTGTTTATTACCATGTCTTGTGCTCTTCTCTTTAAAATGGGTGATCTTGCTTTACATACCTCTGCATTGACAAATGGGCTTTTTCTGCTCTGGTTGGTTAGGTGTACTGTATTCATTACCCTGGATCAGGCTTTTGTTCTTTGATTTCTCTGTCTCTAGTTCTTCTGCCTCCAGCTTTTTCGTTTGTTATTACAGTCTGTAAAATTACAATTGCGAGCATACATTGTGTTTTATGTAGACAGCAGGGTAACGAGGGAGATGGAAAGCCTGTAGTAAACTGCTAGAGAATGTCTCAGTTTTCCACAGAACAGCATGAAAGGGCTGTGTTCACTTTCCAAATTGAACCAAATGTTCAGACTTTACTAGTAATTCCATTCATGCAGAACATACAGGGTCTGCTTTAACCTACTTTCCTTATTTGTCCAAAATATGACTCCTTCCCCACAAGCGTTTCCTCGCTGCATTCCTGAGCTGCAGCCTGTAAGAGTGGCCATCTGTTCATTTATGGAAACTGGAGCCTCAACGTTGCCTAACAATGCTCAGGGTCCGGCCTGATTCAGGCAACAGACTGGCAACAAGAGGTGCAGCGCAGATCCTTTGATCGCCAGCTAACTGGAAAGCATGTGGGTTGGAGCTCTGTTTTCTTTTCTTCACACCGTTGTCAGTACATAGCAGCGCTGGTGAGCTCCAGGGCAGGGGCTGCACGTTACATTCTGCTTACGCATGCTGTCGCGTCATGTCTTTCAGCAGCTTAAGACATCGTGCTAATAACCACTTTGTTCTACCAAATTAATGCACTTTGGGAATAGAGAGACTGAAACAGTGTTTGCCTGACGCTGCCAAAGTCTGTGCTGCCTTTCTCTTGCCGACCTTTTTGCACATCTGGAGATGGTGGATCACGGTGGGTCCCCGTGTTGTGTTCAGGTGCAACAACCTTTAGACAGTCACGTCTGGCTGGCTCTAGTAAGCTGTCTGCGAGAAACAGCCACACATATATGTAACCGGGCCCTAAGATAGAAGGCAAGAAGATAATAGAACGTGTCAGGGCTTCAGGAGTAGAGGAAGAACAGAGCTGGTTAGTTTGAGAATGAGAAGTATTCATTCTTCTGTTTCAGTTAATCATTTGTCAATAACTGGGGAACTATGAGAAACAAGTGAGCTTCCTACCTTACTCCCACATACTCTGCACTTGAAACACAGAAGGAGACGATAAATTCCCTGTGTTTTCTGCTCCTCTGCTCACCAGCTCAAGCAAGGAACTGGAGTTTAGTCTCTCTTGGCAGGAACCTGCTTGGTACAGCAGTCCCAGGCCAGTGTCAAGGCCTTTTGCCGCGTTTGCCTCTGCTTCTTCTCTACTGTGGTCTTCTTCTGTCCCTAGGCTGGATCCTGATTGACCGCTGTGGAAAGCATTTTGGGACAATACTGAACTACCTGCGTGACGGGGCTGTGCCGCTCCCTGAGAGCCGCAGGGAGATAGAAGAGTTGTTGGCTGAAGCAAAGTACTACCTGGTCCAGGGGCTGGTGGATGAGTGCCAAGCAGCCTTGCAGGTAGGTCGCAGAGCTAGGGAGGAGTCAGGTTACTCTGGCTGCAGTGAGGGGTCAAGAAGAGGAAGCTGCTCTGGGTGGGAAGCAGCATCTGGGCAGAGCAAGATTTTCTGCTACTTTCCACCTGGTGCCTTTTTGAGGCTGGGATGAAATTGAAATACTTCATGTCATTGATCTGCTGGAGTCTGGTCACATCCAGAAAAACGTACCGAGTTGTTCTCAACATTTAGTGCTACCCAGTTACAGTGAGGGATAAACAGTTGCTCAGTTTCCCTCCGCTGGCTGCCGGGAGCATGCAAGGAGCAGCAGCGTGGCTCCTCTGCTGTGTTCTCCACTGCCGTCAGGGTCTTACATGCTGAAATGATCTGTCATCAACACGAGCTCTGTGACAGAAGTTAATACTTCCAGCATCAGCCAGAATGGGGTAGGTCCTTTGGCCAGACCAGAGCAGCTTCTTGTATCCCACAGGCTGCTGGGAGTCCCGTTTTGTTCTTTGTTTTCCTCTGGGGTGCTCATCTTAGGTTTGAAGCCACTCTTACTGGTGTCCTGTTTGAGCGAAGCCACATTCCAGATCCTGTCATTTAAATAGGTACACAACATTCAGTCCCTGTGTTTGCAGAGTGGTAGAGAGTGGAAATGAACGTCTCAGGTGGTCCCAGGGGAATGCTGCCGGGTAGCTGGAGTGCCAGCCTGGTTCAGAGCATGGACCAGAAATGGCCACTCAGTGCGGTGTAAGGACAGATTGCAGACTGAACTCTTCAGCACAGAATATGCAGGACCTTCCCAGTTAACAGGAGCGTGCCCTAAGGCCTATTTACATTCAGCTGCTGTTTGATTCTTGTTTCAGCAGAACAAAGATGCATATGAGCCGTTCTGCAAGGTACCAGTCATCACGTCTTCCAAAGAAGAGCAAAAACTTATAGCCACTTCTAACAAGGTAAGAGAGGCCAGTCTGTGCCGTGGCTTGGGAGGGTGCTGGCCTGCTGCCTCGGGCTTGCATGGGACCTTGACCGAGTATTCTTTAGAAAATGGTCTTTAGTTTTCAACAATGGCCTTACCCTAAAATACATGTACTTCAACTGCTGAGCTGCAAAGCACTGAAAATCTACAGCAGACTAAACATTTCTCCTGAATTAAAAGTCAAATGTTGCTCAGGCTGGGCCTGGCCATGTATTTCTCCACGTAAGGAATTAAAGTAGAGGGCGTAGGCAGTAGCAGGCTGATCGAGCAGATCCTCAGGGCTATTAGATCTTCCATTTATTTGTCCACTCTGGTTATTAACAACAGATACTTTCTTTAGCTAAAGTGAATCAATGACTCCTGCTTCTGGAAGCCTGCTCGCTGTGGCAGGTAGAGGGGAGGGTGGTGGAGATAACGATTAGCTTTGGCAAAAAGGCAGAGAGCGGGTGAGAACGGGTTATGATCTAGTCACAGACGGGGTCAGAAGGGATTGCAGCCCCATTGCCAACCCGTGCATGACAGTTTTTGCAGCAACAACAGTAACAACAACAACAAAATCCCACTGGGCTTGGGCCTGATGGTGTCATATCGTATTGCAGCTTCTGTGCTGTGGGGTCTGGGACTGAGCTGAGATTCCAGCTCTTACTGCACTTCCTGTAACTGATCTGTGGTTTGTTTTTTACAGCCAGCAGTGAAGTTGCTATATAACAGAAGCAACAACAAATACTCCTACACCAGGTAAATGACTTCAGCTGGACTTCTTTGAAGTTTTTCATAGACTAAAATCTATGATAAGCATTTGCTTTTTCTTCACTCAGAACCAATGACAGATTGGTGCTGGCAGGCACTCAATTTTTCCCCAGTTAATTTCAAGCTTTTGTCAGAAGGGAGCCTACTGTCATCGACGGAAGGCTAAGCATGTGCTACTTCTGTGCCAGAGGAGTTCCTCTAATACTTAGGTGGAGCTGGCAGAGACTCCTGGCCAACTGCTGGCCTGCATTCCCCGTGGGCTACAGCACATCAGTTGAATACAGGAAGCCTTCCATGGTGCAGTGGTCTCAATAAGTGGTAAAATCATCAAGTCTGGGACCTTGTCCCCCTTTCCTTATGTCTGTGTATGTTTCGTGATACAACGCTGCTTCCAACCAGTTGGTGCTGAGTTTGAGCTTAGGAATGGTTTCATTTGGGTGATAGAGTTTTGTACACAAATGAAATGGCCTTGGACAGTATTATTCACAGTACTGTTGATGTCGTATTACTGCTTCTTCAGCAGCAGGTTTTCTTGCTTGTACTAGTCAAATGAGTTATCCACTGCAGTCCTGGATACCAACTGTAACACTACCTTGGTAGAGACACAGTAAGTCAAAGGAAACTGGGCGTACGGGCCTGTAAATGCTCACTGCCTGCACCCCCTTCCATTCTGTGTGCTGTCTTAATTACCCTAACGTGACTGCTGCCTTCCTTCATCTCTCACAGCAACTCTGATGACAACATGCTGAAGAACATTGAGCTATTCGATAAGCTGTCCTTGAGGTTTAATGGGAGAGTGCTCTTTATAAAAGATGTGATTGGAGATGAGATCTGCTGCTGGTCTTTTTACGGGCAGGGGCGGAAGATTGCCGAAGTCTGTTGCACTTCCATTGTTTATGCTACTGAGAAAAAACAGACAAAGGTACGAGTAAATCCTTGAATGCTTCCAGCAACAGGCCCAGCTGCTGTCAGACTGGCATCCTGACATCTGTTCCATTTTGAACACTCCTTTCATTGTTTAGCGTCTCTATAGAATAATCAATGCCATTCAAAGTGGGAGCAGCACAGCGGAGCTCATCCTGTGGGTTCGTTAGGGCGGGGACTGCTTGGCTGTTTCACTTAACACAGGGCAGTTGTGATACTCCATAATGCAAGCTCAGTCCAGTTCTTTATCTTTAGACAAACTTGCGCATTTAACCAAGTTTGGTTTACATCCCTATGTAAAGAGAGATCCTGCTGAGCCATGGTATGCCTTCCCCGTGCCTTCTTACCTTTCCCAGGAGAAATCTGACTGAGTCTGCCCTGCGGGCAGGCCAGTTCTGAAAAAAACCCTGGTTGCTGGGTCTCAAAAGCTGAAAGCAAATAATGAAACAGAAACGGTTGTGCTAGAGAGGATTTCTGTGGCTCGAGTGCAATTATGAAATTTTAAAAGCAAGAACTTATCAGGAATTAAAAATGAGGTAACCTGGTGCCTGCGGTGACTGGCAATAGGTGAGAGTGACCTTCTCTTTCTTGGGTGGGTAGGTGGAGTTCCCAGAAGCCCGCATTTACGAGGAGACACTGAACATTCTGCTGTACGAGTCCCAGGACGGGAGGGGACCCGACAACGCGCTCTTGGAAGCCACAGGAGGGGCAGCTGGCCGCTCCCATCACTTAGATGAAGATGAGGAGCGAGAGCGCATTGAACGCGTGCGAAGAATTCATATTAAACGTCCGGATGACAGGGCCCATCTGCATCAGTGAGCCGAGCAACAGCCGCAGACTGCGCAGCTCTGTCTGGAAGGTGCTGCCCTTCGTCTGATGGATTATCTGCAGCAGAGGACCAGGCGGTTTAACTTCTGTTTAGCAAAGTCTGTAAATTACGTTTTGTAACAAACTAGATTATTTGGGGTATTTAAATGCAGTAGTTCTAGGACAAGAATAAATAAGGTTACTGGGCATACGATAGGTACTGTAAGGACCTATTGAGCATCTGGAGAAATGCCCTGAATTTTTAGCACTCTTGTCTTTGCTGTTTCGTGGCTAGAGAGGAAGAGGGCTGGCTTCCTTTGGCTTTAGTAATTATCCTGCACTTTAAAAACAAAACAAAACAAAAAAACAAACACAAAAAATGGTCAGTCAGCCGTATACCTTCCCTCCAGGCACTCATTGACCCTGTCTCCTAGGCGTTCAGGCGTGGGAGAAATGCAGTGATCTAGACACACCAGAGCTACTGCAGAGCTCCCTTTCTCCCAGGCCTTGTAGGTGATAGGGGTGGTCGCTCAGAAATGCCTCGGTGTGACTCCCAGAAGGACAAATGACACGTGCTGACTAGATTCCTGTAGTGCTGGGGGGGGCAGAGGGAGCCCTCTTGGAGCGGTGGGAGGGAGCAGCGGGAGCTGCTTGGGCTCGGCTTGCCGGGTGGCTGGCTGTGGCTCCCTACAGCTCTCGGGACCTGCTCCCCGAAGGCTTCAGTGGAGTTTCTACAGCACCGAACTGTGGAGACCCACCCCTGCTTTATCTGTGCGGTTCAAGGGTGGAAGATGTTAAAATTCCTCCAAAAGGAAAATCAGGAGCAAATTGTATGTGATTGATTGCTTTTCCTTAGGGTGGCGTTGCTACCAGTTAGCGCTTAGAACTTCTGTCTGACCCCGCGTCTCAGCTGGGGAGTTTATTTCCATCAGGTCGCAGGTCAGTAAGCTGCGCTTTCTTTACTGCAGGTAAAGCAGTAGTCATCACAGGTCCAAACACTCCATGCCAGCCTAGCGTAGGTAGGAGGCCAGCAGCCGTAGTTCAGTTCTGTAACTGATACAGGAGCATTGTCTTGCTTTGAGCGAGGGCAACGCGAGTACTGCGGGGAAGAGGAGTAGGCAGTGGCCCAGAGGTGGTTATTCCTTGTTTGACTTTATCCTGAGCATATTCCAAGTCTTTTCAGAAATGGCAGCTGTGTGTGAAAGGGCAGAGCTAAAATGTTGTGTAGAGAAGACCTACGTAGTCTAGTTTTCTAAGAGTACTTTTTTATTATAAATGAATGTTATCTACCTCCTTGTCTCTTGTTGCCTATTGTGGAGTCAAGTAACAATTATAGTGGAAGATCGTGTATTATTCAATAGGACTGGATGCTAAAGGATAATGAGCAGAGCCACAGCTGTAATGGTTAGTGTAACAAATCCTGAGAGAGAGAGAAACCCAATGTAGGAAGTCTTAAACTTGCAATCAGGCACCAGAGTACTTCGGCCTATTTTAGATTTTTTTGACCCTTCATCTGGAATATCTAATGATGATAGCTGCTGGTCTTAATGGGAGCAGCAGCTCCATGTTCTGTTCCTCAGTGAGGCGGTTATTTGTTTTTGCCTGACTTCCTGCTGCAAGGATTCCTGCTCCTGGCTCAGGGCTGTTAATGGCATGTTAATGTTTTAAAAACCAAAGGTGTTGTCAGCATCACCAGCTACGTTACTCCAGTGCTTCTATTTCAAATAGCAGTTACATCCCAAACTATGTATAGCTTGTCTGTAGAGGCTAAAATAAAGCATTAAGCGTTTGCTCAGTGGTACAATTTTGGATCAAGTAAAGCTAAAAAGATTTCAAAGTTAGGCTGAGATCATCTTTCTAGGAACCAAAGACTTTTCTAAGTTGCAGACATTGTGTCTGTAACTTCTTGTACCTGTCTCCTCTACTCTTTCTTCTTCACCTACTGATTTATAAGAGCTCAACAGTAAACAGATATATCAGTTATACCATAGTTCGGCAGCTTCAGCTATGTCCTGACAGTTACAGGCTTCTATTTTAAGCTGCACTTACAAGTGTTTGCAACGCACCGGGTTTGTAGTCCATAGTCCATAGTGCAGATTGTTGTGAAGGACCCAGTGCCTCTCCCTTCTTACCTTCCTTACGTGATAAGCTGGGGAGTGTGGAAGGAAAGTCCTCTGGATTGCTCTGTTTCTCCAGCACGGCGTACTTTGACACTTACTGGCACGTTATGGGGCTGTTTATGGGTTTCTGAGCATCTGTAACAGATCCACTGCCCTTGAAGGGGTCTAGACTCTGCACTATATAAAGCCATTCTGTCTGACTCCCGTGTCTCAACGGTCCCACTGTGCTCCTGCTGGCCATCAGAGGGTGAAAAGGAAACGCCAGCTGATGACTGTAGAATATGCTGATAGTCCTGCAGCAAACCCTGCTTGCTTCATTAACGCTAGAGAGCTGGCTCCCTCCTGTGAGACTCCTGTCGTTCTGTGCTGAACTACCTTCTTTCCCCATACAGTGCAGGGGAGACTCCAGCAACCCAGCACTGGCTGCTCAAACAAAATCCAGTTGCATCCTGTGGTGCAAGAGCAGGTTCAGCTCCAGGAGATGACATGTGTTGACACCAGTGCTAAGCACCTGACAGATGACATCTATGTGATTAACTTCTCTGTAAATAGATTCTTAACTGGCTTCAGGACTTCCTCTTTCAGGTTTTGCAGACTAAGTTCTTAAAAAACAGGGGATGATTATTTTTAATCTTTGTACAGCAGTTTATCTAGCTATTGGTTTAGTAAGTCACTCCAGGAGAGTTTGAGTAAGTTTCAGTTTTGTTACTGCATTTACAGGCAGGCTCTGCCTTAATACACTCCTGACAACCCTCTGCGTGCTGTAGTTGTGTAGTAAAGATGTACTGCTGTCACAGTAGAATGTCCTGTACCTACTGGCCACTTGTCCTTGGTCTGTGGAGAGAGACTTAGTTAATGCCATTGCACAAATGCTCTCAGCTCTTGAGCCTTTTTACTGTAAATGGTTTTGCCTCTACAGCTTTCAGGTGAAGATTGGGGTACAGGGCAGCTGGCCTGGTCACAAGCAGCTCTTTAGATTATCTAGTACTACCTCGTATTAACGGGGAGTGCAGACCCGTCTGCTTTGATTCTCCAGCAGCCCACAGCAGACACTAATAGTGACAGTACAGCAGAGTAGAGCTGACTAAAGTCTTACTTGTGGAAGTGATTTTGTCCCTCAGCATAACGCAGAAAAGCTGGACTAAAGTCTGCAGCTTGTAACACAGTTAGGGCTGCACAGTAGAGACAAGAGGGACCACCGGCCCCTGGCTTAAAGCTCCCTGACCTATACCAGTGGGGCTGTAGCATCAAAGCAGCTGCTCCTGTATTTCCATGAGGCAGGTTTTGGATCCCACCCTGAGCTCCGCCTGCTGCAGGACATCACCTGGTTAGAGCCTTGTAGAAGGCTCCAAGCTCCAGTCTTACCTTAGAGCAAAGGGTCGGCAGAACCAAAGTTTCAGTCTTAATGGAGTTGTTCCATTTCATGGACAATAGCAGCACATTCATCTGTTCTGTACAATCGTTCCCTCCCACTTTATACTTATGCACAAAAAAGCTTAAGCTGGATTTCAGTGTATGGTTGATGTTTGCAATATGTTTTTTTTAATATAACACAATAAATTAGAAGATATTTCATATTTACATGAGTCGCTTTATTACTTGTTTGAAGCATGCTGTCCTCACGGCCCATGGAGCTGGAAGGAACTTTCAGGAAGAAATACCAGACATCATCCTCCCCCCCAGCTGTTAGTTTTACCTCCTGGCACTGCTCATGGCAGAGGCACCAGCGATCTGGCTCTCGGGACTCTGCAGACCCCAGGATTTAAGGGCAGCAAGTCAAGGATCTTCAAGCTTGTAGTTTCAGCCTAGCCAAAGCAAGCTGGAGCAGGAGCTACACAAAATTTGCCTCAACGTGAGGCAGCAGAGTGAGCGCTATGAACAGAGAGCAGCGGTACAGCTGCAGCTTCCAGGCAGGAGGGAGCAGAGGGAATTCCTGTCTTCCACCCCTCTCCCCTTGCACCTGCCCCAATACACCTCAAGGGAAGACAGTGCCTACCAGGCTCTTGAGTGAGTAGGGTTCAGCTCCACAGGGAGAGATGAAGGTTCTTCAGGAGCAGGAGACCGGTTTCTTCTGAACTGGATTGCATCAAGCCAGCACATCCCTCTTTAAGAGGAGGCATTTTGGTCATCTTTTATGGTTTTGCCTCCACTGCACCGTGCATAGCTGCTGCGCAGGGAGAACCAGTGTCACTCTAAAAGCAAAGATCCTCCCCCGTGTCAGAGTAGACAAGAAAGCAGCTTACTGAGATTTCCAGATGAGCAGCTTCATATGCTGATGCACCAAATAAAAATGTCAGCGCCAGCCCTACTGCTACATTTAACCATCTCTTCACATGCCAAAGGACTAGCTGCTGGTTTTAAAGGCTTCGCCAGTCTGCCTGAGAGAAAAGGTGTTTTCAGGCCAGAGGTAACTTCATTGATCCACACCTGATGCAGTTCTGGTGAGTCATGACTCAAAGTACAGCTAGAGAAGCCTTTTTGCTTCTCTCTTGATCCTTCCCGACTGGTCGGTGCTCTCAGCTCTTACTGAGTGCACAGAGACAGACATTTTACATGTGGAACTGCAACTTTTGGTTTAAACATTTCCCTATGACTGTGTAACGAGCATCTATGCTCACTGGAATGTTACAGCAACATAATGGAATTTATTTAGCAGAGCTGAATAGTTTTAAGCTATAAAAAAAGAGCCTAAAAGATGCAAGCAAACTCTCAAATCACAGCAGCCCTATGGCATCAAAGATTCCAGGGGAGATGCGAGTGCTGGTCTCATCCTGCAGGCTCCTTTCCGTTCCTAGCCAAGACAGTGACCAGGAACAGGAACTGTTTCTCATCAAGACTTTGCCTGAGTTGACACCTGGGACAAGAAAAGGAAGGAGTCATTAAATCAAGTACAAGTGTTATGTCCTTGAGGTGTCCTGGCTGTGGGAAAAGAGGTTGTGTTGTTTCTGTTTAACAATTGACATGTAGAGACAACTCCCTTTGTCTCCGGACTGCGAGGACAGCTAACCAGTGCCCCGAGGGTATTGCACCTCAGCATGCAATTCTTCCTTGGAGCTGTCCGCTAACAGTACCAAACAGCTAGGCTCGCCGGTGAAGCAGCGGAGACCCACATCTTTCCTTGTTCCTCCAGCCACACTTGCCATTGACTGCCTTGCAGCCGTGAGCTGATGGAGGCAGGTTTAGCACACCTCCCTGCCTGACCATGAGCAAGGACAGAAGCA